AGAACAGTGTGTAATGTGCCAATGACTTTTGTGGTGGATAGATGGTTGAGTTGATAATTTTGAGACTCGGTGAAACACTGATGGGAAGCTTAGGAGAGGAAGAGCTAGCCCAAATGGTGAGAGATTTCATCGAATCAGAAACATCCACTCCCATTTCACTGACAACTTCAGCACCTCTTTCTCGCAATCATCAAACCACATGTCTCATTTTGCAGGTAAATTCTTCAATATATAGTTTCAACTCTGTAAGTAACATCAAGTTGTTGTTTTCAGTTATTTGTTTTCTGCTTCTGGTAAATGTAAAGCTCTCTCGAATGGTTTTTCTAGAAAGTTCTAGGGAAACACAATGATGAGAAGGCTGAGATACATGAAAAGATATTAATGTATTTGAAAGATATAGGAACTGCTGGCCATCAAACGAACAATCTCAAGAAGTTGGTAGTAATGAAACTGAGAAACGATGGTTACGAAGCTTCTTTTTGCAAATCTTCATGGGTCTGCACTTCTAGCCATCACAAAGGTATCTCTCTCTCTTCCACCGATAAAATGAAACATATTCTTTCATTAATCCCTCATGAATACATAATTATAGTTTTTGATTCTTTGTTTTTGGGGTTTAAAGTTTTCCAATTTCCAGGCGGGTATGAATATATTGATGTTATGGTGGTGGAAAATGGTAGACCCAAAATGGTGATAGCGGATATGGAGTTCAGGTCTCAGTTTGAATTAGCAAGGCCGACAGTAACCTATAAAGAGATGATAAATGACCTTCTTTTGATCTTTGTTGGTACCGAAGAGAAGCTTAACATGATCATCCCTTTACTTTGCTCCGCTGCTAAAAGATCACTCAAAGAGAATGGTCTCCATGTCCCTCCCTGGAGAAAACCTGCTTATATGCGGTCCAAATGGCTCTCCAAAAACTACAAGAAAGTTTCAGTCTCACCAGAAGACATTGACTAGGTTGAGGATCACAAAGTTGAAGAAAATACTAGTACAACTGCATGCTATCCTTCCATTTTTAGTAGAGGTCAACTCCAATTTGTTTGAAGCCCTAGAGAGAAGAGAAAGAAAAAATGTGTAAAGAGTTGATTCTGCCTTGTTTTAACTTTTTCTTCTTTTTCCTTATCTGGGTAGATCAGCCTATTTTTGCTCATGGGGTATCAGTATTTTATGCCCCAAAAATATAATTTAAGGCTTGTTTTGTAGTACTGGGCACACTAAAGTTTTGATCCTGTAAATCTATCGCTTCTCAGTTACCAATATATTACAGCTTTCTTGGTTATAGTTTTATCCACATTTTCCCCTACTTTGGCTTTGAGTCAGCAGTCAAACCACAATTGGGTGATGAGTAGTGGTTACTACTTCAAATCAAAAACTTCAGGTTCATGCTATCACCGACTCCTTTTTAGAGGAAAATGGATAGAGCTATCAGTCGAGAAGCTGTCGTTTTTTCTTACAGTTAAGCATACATAGTTTTTTTCTCACAATTTTGTCTAATTTTAATATTCTATGATTTCATGAATAGACAAGAATGCCAGCATCAAGATTACTTGGATCGTTTAGTATATACACGCAGTTTTCTTTCCTTGTTTGCTTTACCTAATCATGGAAGGAAATGAACCCATTTGTACATATAATTAATTAAGATATAATACATTATTCAATTGATAAAAGGTACAGATTGGAAGTTTTTTCTTTCTTAACAAACGACTAATTGTCTTGATTTCTTGTTGAAGTGTTGTTTTCTTTCCCTTCTTCACGCCACAATCATTCAAAATCCTTATTATATTAACTCATATATCTTAGTTCTATATTCCCTTTATTTTTTTTAGTAATGAGATATATATATACATATATATACATCAACAGTCTATTTCCAAAAGGGTAAATGAAGAAGAAATATGCAACATTGATGATGAAGTTAAGGAATGAAAAGAACATACTAAAATTATAATAATAATAACAATAATAATAATAATATAAAGTTTAAATCATTTAAAGGGACTGAAAGTTGATGGGATCTGGAGAGAGTTGAATAAAGTTATTAAGAACAGTTGGGAAGACAAAGACAAAAGCATATCTATCTGTTGGTTGGTTGCTTGCTTACATGTTGCATAGTCAAACCAATGGAAGAGTTGAAAGTTCCTCCAGAAAACGATATATATGTTTCCCTCATCAAGATTTTTTAAGTTAAATAAATTTAAAACCATTAAGCCTTTTAATCTAACAATTAAGAATGATTATTTAATTGAAAATTACAATGTAGCATATAATCTTTCGACTTGTAGGAAAGTAGTATTAATTAATTGCAAGTACAAAACCAAAACTCACTAAGATTCCTTATATATTCTCTTCAACACAATTGAAAAAAAAAAACACAAAATCTTCAATCCTCTTTGCTCATATCATATAGCTTAATGAGATTTGACAGGAATAATGATTGTTGTGGAGATACGTTAGGGATGGAGTGGGATGCTGATGGTATACTGCCAAAACAGAAGGAGAGGATCTAGTACTGCCTATATCACACCACACTACCTAGCAGTATTAATGTAACACCATGCAGCATTGGAACTAGTGTACCATATGTTATGTTTTTAAAAGAATGTTTTAACCAACAGGTTATAATTGAAGTTACTTTATGCTCTCTCGTAAGTCTATCATATGGAGTTATTTTGATATATTCTTAATGTTTAAATAGTTAGATTTTTGAGATTTTAAGTTTAAATTTTAATGTTTTAAGTATTTTTTAATTTAAGTTTGATTACTTATTAGGTGATTAATTTAAGTTATTTTAGTTAAATTTTATATTATTTTATTTTAAATTATTTTAAGAGTAGTTATTGCTAATTTTTCTAATAACGTTTGTAAAAAATTGATGAAAAAGACTCATTTGATGAAAATCAGTACAAGTATTGTGATAGCTTCATTCGTATATATTTTGATATTTTAATCATATCTCTCTTTACAAAACTCTAAATGAGGTAATTCTTAGACCACTAGAATTATAAGAAGAAGGGCTACAGCATTTTTATTTATCAATTTGCCCAGTTCTAATTATATCATGGTCAAAATATTTGTCAAAGTCGGAGCACTGCAGCACTATATATAGACTAAACATGATACGATATTTGGAGCATATCTTTCAATCCAGAAGTCCAATTGACATGATTCTTCATCCATTGGAAAGTTAAAAGATAGGATTAAAAATTCTATATTTACTACTTTGGCTAGTTCGGAATATAAGGGTGAAACTCACATTTGAAGTTGATAAACTACCATAGCGCTGGGCAAACAAGGCTATAGCGTTGATGAAAGGAAGCACACATACAAATTTTCAGAGAGCTCAACGCTGCAGCGCTGGAGAAGTAGTACCAAGAGCCGGGCGATTTTCAAAAAAAATAAAAAAGTTGACGGGGATTCTTGAAAAATTAGGTTATTTGGAGCCTATTTAAGGGACTTTTTTCAGAGATTCTAAAATGGAGGCAGCAAGCAACTATTCTGGAGATTTGAAGCCAAGAACAAAGCAATAAAACAAGAGAATTGGAGGGAGAATCAAGATTACAAAGCTCTAACTATTAGTTTTCTCTCTTACTTTTGTGTTTTTTTTATTTTCTTTGACTTAGATTCATGGCTAAATTTCTTTGGATATTGTCTTTATTAGATATTATGAGCTAATTTATTTTTCTAGGATTGCAATTGAACTCACTTGTAATCTAAAGTTTTAATCTCTTTCTTGCTTATTTTCAGTGAGATTTTAATTGTTTATTTCAATTTGTTCTTAATGTTTTTAATTGCTTGGCCACCAATTAAATTGATTTAGGAACCTAAACAAACTTAAGAAAGGTAGTTTAGTGTAGACTAAAATTGGGATAGCATATGATTATATTACTTGATTTGCG